CTCGCATACAAAATCAAATCTTCACACTTCACGTTACATACAAACCATTAACATAAACGTTGGCAAGTCAATTCATCGAAGGCTTACAACAACATCCGATACACATATAAACTATTTCAATCTGGGGCAAACATGACGTTACACGCTTAGCCAAACATCGAATGAAAACGACAAAACTTAATTGAGTCATCCAGATGAATCTTCCTCTCCTCCTCAAAAGATAACTTGAACCGAAATGATTGTGTACGTTCGTGGTGAACACGTAAATGAAATGCGAGCACATAGCATACTCATCGTGTGAGTCGGAATGAACAAATTTGAATTTGACACAAAAAGACAACAAAATTCGAAGTGGGGCGGTATTCTTTGTATAATACTCTCTGATGAGTAAGCGATCGCGTGAATCGCTTTAATCAACAAATGAGCTGATAAGCAAACATGTAAAAACGATAACGAATTAATTGTACGCAACGACACAGAAACTTCCAGCAAAAATTATGCAAAATACTACGACGACGCATACACTTCGCTTGCCAAATAGAACAAGTGAGCTGGCATCGAAAAATGGCATGCCCAGGATTGGAAAACTAGGCGAAATGACTCGAGGTGACCGCACTCAGGTACGTAGATCATAACGGGGAGAGTAACTGAAATTTCAGGTTCCGCAATGGGTGGAGGGACCATTTTGTAAGACCTGATTGCGTACACTGTGAACCAAACGGTTAGCGCCATGGCCATCTGATAAAGCAACGATGGCAAAGTTGAAACCAGGAAATATGTTGAAAATCGAGGCAAAAATTACAAATTCACTCATTGCACTCATTGTGCACCTACGCAACAGACTGCAAATGACCAACGACCATGTTTTAAGTGCCATAAAAAGGGTTTTTCAGTGGTCATCGACTAATTTTGCAGCCTGGCCATGTTCACGAACATAAATAGCCACAATTTTTTCAACACAGTAATGTGTAACCCCTCCCCATGGGTACTTTTTACGAGCACGGGTACGGTGTTTCAATTTATTGGAAAAAACTCGTTCACATGATCTCAGCAGTGTCCAGTGGGGAGTTGCCAAACCGTTCGTGTCTGGTGCAAAACGCTATCGTTCGCAGTGCGCATCGAAAGTGGGTGTAGTCAATTAAATGCTAGTCTTTAACGAAATATATGGAAAGTGTTGAGGAATATTTGAAAATTCAATGGTAACTGCTAAAATTCCAATCACAGTAAAAATTTCTTTGAGTTCAATTCTCCAGAATTTATGGGAGTGGAAATGGGAATCAGAGTAGTTTGGAGATGTTAATTTCTCCAGAAAATTTGCAATTCCAGAGGAATACAAGCAAGCAAGCTTTAAGCTGGAAGCTTTAGCTGATTAAGTGAAAAATAAGCTTTCTTGTTTCGCATTACCATTCGTCTATATTAATCAGTGTTTTTTTTGAGTGTTAAAATTATGGAATTGAAAATGATATGCCTCAAACTTCCTCAAAAATCAGGAAAACAAATAAAATTCTTTTCAATAGTTGAAAAGAACTTCATTTATTTTCACTGATTATCTTTATCTTGATTATCTTGAAAATTATCTTGATCTTGAATTATCTTATTCTCACTGATTATTTTGAAAAGAATTCATTTAGATCATTACAATTCACTGATTATCATGATCCTAACACTATGGTGTCGAGGAGTAGTTGATCAAGACTGACTTGAAAACGACATTATTGCAAAGTGATCAACATTTACATAGAACAACAAATACAAACAACAGTGTTAAAGATTTATTCTTGATAGAAAATAATTTGAAAACATCCAATGTTTTTTAAATTCAAATGAATCGAAGGCATAAATTACATTTATATCAATTGATATAATAAATATCACATAAGATGCACACCAATTGTGAGATTTTCTGAGATTCTTATTCTTCCACAGTATTACAATTCAATTCATTTACAAATTCAAACAATAATTTACAACGCAAATTTCATCGATTCAATATTCACATACACTCGGACTGCTCACGAGACGTACTGCAATTGGGATATCGACAAACGACAATTGAACAATGATATGAATGAATAAAGTAGAAAACTGTAAAATTACGTGACAAACGAAATAAATAAACTTTTGACTGATATTAGGGCAATATCAAATGTGATCACCATCTGACGTTATGGATCAGAACGTCGTTTAACAAGCAGTTTATACACGATGATTATTTATAAAGAACCGTTGCTGTCACAATATTTCTCCTCGTAATCCTTCTTAGATTCGAGACATTTCAAGAGAATCGCCGTGTATTTAACAGATCGAATTTCACCAAAATTCTGCTCTTTTCACTGTCGGGGAATGCAAGATCGCCGGTTCTTCGAAATATATTTACATGTCAGCCATCAGGTCAATAAACTATTCGTCACTTCCGAAATCAAATTGAATCCAGCAGCCGTCGCGCTGATATTCGTTGGAGTGACATGCATTGTAGTCGAATAATCCGATAATGTTAATAAATTCTAAAATCTTCAGTCATCAATCTCATAAATCAATGGAATTTCACTGATCATTCGAATAAAATTAAAAATTTTCGATATTTTACTGATTCTAGACCCTGCTTGGATGTATTCATCGCTTATCCTATGCAATTTCAATTTTGCTTTCCAGTATCTCCCCACTTGCGAGTTGACAACAACAATAAATCATTGAAATGCTATCTTTTTCATAATATTATAATAAGATGGAATTCAAGAATTGACTGAAAAGCGATGGCTTATAGAGATCAAAAAACTGTTCTCTATTATAAACCAATTGAGAATCTGTTCATAGATTTCGTTCTTAACTCTCTTTTTGGTTCGCCTAAATGCTAGTCCTTGCTAAATTCCGAAAATTTCATTGCAAAAATTCAAACTACGTGAAAAATGGAATGCTTTGAACAGTAATAATATAGGTGATGATATGTTGAAATTCAAATGTTCCTGTTAAACCAATATGGCTTCTCTGATACAGACTGAATTTGTTCTAAAAAATTTTATCTAGAAATGTTCAAAAACAAATGGTATTACACCATAAGTGAGGCATAAAGAAGATACGGAATGCTATGAAGAAACAGTTTCGACTAATCAACTAACCTTATAATCCGTGCTAGTATCGTAATTCAACGAGATCTGTGCTGCAGCAGTGGATGAGTCATTCTCAAACACATTCGACGGTTTTAGAGTGGTCAGCTGTGCTTGACCAAATTCCGATGTGGGGAAAAGTTGTGTTTGCGGTGTTGTTAATGAGCGGTGTTGTGAAGTTATCCCAATATTCGTACCTTAATCAACTCAATCAGAATTATGCACAAAGTTTGAATTTTTATGCACAAAGGTTGAATTTATAAAGAAAAATTCCATCTACAAATCCAAGTTCAAAAGCAGTTGGTATTTGGACCAATACGTCTATGTGGAATGAAAGGATTTGGAATTCTTCGCTTTTGAAATTGCACAAGAGACGACTCTGTACGTATTCTGCAGCAAATCTTACTCATGACTTAAGTTCCAACTGAATTCTTAGTTAAGTCAAAAGAATAGAATGGAAAACGTTATGATGAAAATGATATCAACTGAGAGGGCAGTGAATAAAACGAGAGTATTCATGGTTAAGATATTGCTAGATAGAACTGAGTTCATATTGAACAATGTTCAGTTGGTAAGAAATGAAAGCGAATTGATACATGTAAGATGTTCAGTCGAATGATAGTGAATGAAGTAAAATTTGGATGTTATTGAAGAAAGATGATTTGGGTGATTATTACGAACCGTTATTTGTTGATGGAGGCAATGCGGTCGGATATTCAACTCGTCGAACAGAGCATGAGCTAACCGTTTGATTGGTGCCATCATCTGGGGCTGGGCAAAACGGAGTTGAACAGAACGCACTTTGAAATGAATTCGGATAACCTGAAATCAGCAACGATCTCGATTCAGTACCAGTTTGAAAGTGGGAAATGCGAGTTAATCATGATGACATTCATTAGTCCACAGTTGTTCTGGCTGAGACTAGAAACTGAAGTATTCGGTTATTAAGAGCATCTCGTACT